ACACTCACACAAACACTCACACACACTCACACACACTCACACACACTCACACACACACACCCAATGACACCGGCGTTCATGCAAATGATAAAAAAGGCCTTACTTTCCATATTCTAAAGGCTAGCAGGGCTGCACGAATTGGGAAAATAATCAAATTGTGATTTTTCTGATAAAAATTGTGACTGAAAAAAATCCAGATTTGCTGTGTTTAGGGCTGAAGAATTTTGCCAAAATATTGTGATTGCATTCGCCAAAATGACATTATTATTATTATTATTATTAAATAAAAAATAATACAATAAAATTACAAAAGAGATTATCATATTATTAAAATAACAACCTAATTATTTTATTTTACATTACAATCGGAACACAGTGTTACGCTTCACTCACACACAGTGCATATATTTATTTAATTAAATCCCAGCTCTTGCGATTTAAAGTCATATCGCGATTTCGGTTTTATTTTGATTAATCTTGCAGGCCTCAAAGCTTGTACTTTATATTTTAATAAATCCAAATTTTTCAGTCATAAATAGTTGGTACATATTACAAATACACAGGCACAAAAACACTTCCAGTCAGACGTAAAGCGTGTCGGTGTCGGTGACGGGTAGCGGGGTCCCACACATATTTCCATCCCAGAGACATTCAAGCTATTGACCTCAAAAACAAAAGACACAGTCCCTCTCCCACCCCCTCACCAGCACACCTCTGTCCCTCCATCACACTCTCCGTCTCTTCAACGGGAAATTTTTTTTCCACTTGCTGCCGTTGACAAACACCCTCTGCTTCCTCTATAAAGTTATGTGCACTCTTTCTTTCTCTCTGTCTCAAATAACAGACTCTTTCCCCTTCTCTTTCTCTCGAAGTGTGTCATTTCTGTGCCACAGCGGCACCAAACGGATATGCGAAAATAGTTCGATTTCTACATTTTCTGAAAAAACATGTGGGGGGTTTACCTGTGCAAAACTCAGTGCCATGATGTTGTGGGTGTTAAAGGGATAGTTCACCCTAAAAGAAAATGTGCTATTAATTTACTCACCCTCAGGCCATCCAAGATCAGACCGATCTTTTCACTTCATAAGACCTCAATATATCATCAGAAGCTATGGGTATTAATTTTGTGTTGCCTGTATATGCTTTTTTGACTGTCAAACTGACGGTAGCCGAGGACTTGCATTTTAAGAAAGAAAATACACAATTTATCTTTAAATTGACATTTCAGAGGAGTTATCTCACACACAACCTGCTGGACACCAATTAGTCATTAACTAAAAGATACACAGTGCTCATCACTCATTAACCCCCAGAGGAAATTCTCTCATGATAATGTATCTGAGCAGCCTTTGTGCTCATCATCTAGCGTGGACAGGTCAGGTCGACTGAGCTAACTACGATCATTAGCATTAGAGGTTGACCAATATGATTTTTTTAATGGCAATATGATTTTTTAATGTGCTAGCGTCAGCGACAGTGATGATTATACATCGTGTCCCTTGTTAAAAACAAGTACACTTCAGCATACAATTAAATGAGTACCTATTATAGAAATAATTTACTTTAAAAAAATAAATAAACTTCAATCCACTAAAATATGTAATCAACATATGGACTAAAGACTGAAAAACTTAAATTGTAATTTCATGGGGTCTTTGTTTCTTGTTCTTAAAACATTAAAGATCCAATCAAAATAAAGTATTGATTAATTTTGTCCAAACAAATGCTCTCTAAAACGAGAATGTCCCTCCCCTCCCTTACAAAAATGAACCATGGTTTTACTATAGTAAAAGTGTAGTAACCATGTTTTTTTTGGCATATTGATTACCATTTGTATAACCAGAGTTTTACTACAAATACCATGGTTAAACTATGATTAGTATAGCAAAACCATAGTTAATTAGTGGTTACCATGGTTTAACTATAGTAACCCATCAGGGTTTGAAATGAACTTTTTCACTCATAGCCAATTTGGCTACTAAATTTTTAAGTTACCAGTAGGGCTTTGCAATTAATCGCATGCGATTGTCATGCGCATCTCGTCAGTAAAGCCGGTTCCGTGATTACTAGTAAATCTCCATCACCTGCTTTCAGATGGAGCAGCATTTACTACACAGAGCCGTAGTTCACTGACAATTAGGCAATATCGCATTCATAATCGCAGATGAATCGCATTCGATTATGAACGCGATATTGCCTAGCTTGTCAGTGAACTACTAGCCAAAAAAAAAAAAAAAAAAACAACAGCTATTTGTTTTCAACAGCTAACAGCTATTTTGTCGTGCCGCATCCAGTGCATCACTGACTATAATGGGTCGCATCGCAGTCTTAAGTCGTTTTTCGACTCTTCGCTACTGCTGCAAAGGAAACCAACGCACCGTTAGTGACGGGTCACAGGTATGTTCAAGTAAGCTAGATATGCACAGATGCTGCGAAATTAGGCTGCATTTAATATATCATGATGTCTCACGAGTCCAGTATTTGCGTTAAATCTGTGCAGATTTGGATTGCAACTTCCCCAGGAAATTAATGAGTGAACATAACTTACGAAAAGTAACCCGCCAAATTGCCTAGTGATTTGACCGCATTACACGCCACAGCAGACTTTTACCCATATTTGGAGGGTGTTAATTTCAAACCCTGGTAACCAAGGTTTTATTTGTAGTAAAACCTGCAACATCTAGTACTCAACTCAGCTGAGTACTCAAATAATACTGAACTGTTCACGTCTGTTTAAAATGAAAAGAAATGGGCCATTTGATATGTCCAGCCTAAACTTCCTGTTTAGAAAGTTTTGTTACATTTGTCAAATTTAGTGTGTGTTAAACCATGGAGTCTCTAAAGCAGCAGTTACATCAGAGCATCTGAATAACTGTCTTAGAGAACACAAAC